AGGTGCTCGCTCATTGCACTTGCCCCATCAGTAGGTTAAAGCTATCCGGGGGATCTTTGTGTGTACCGTATGCGTAACAGTGTATGTGTCGTGTAGAGTATACATATTTGCGGTCTATGTTTAATGTACATTGTACGTCCACGCAGATTGTATGTCACGTACTGTGCATATGGGATGAATACACGTACAGTGCTTATGTAATGAATGCATTCAGGCGATAAGCATGCACTTTTGTGGGCCTGAGAGCCAGGCCCCATCACTACCTGACCTGTCCCCAGGTCCCTAGGTCAGGCTCCTGTGCTGGACTCTGGAATCAGTCAATGATTAGCATGGCACACAAATAAGTACATCGCACCTTGAAATATATCGCAGAATGGACCACACAGAAAAAACATTAGCAGCTTAGCTCTGAAGCACTTACATGATATCTGCATGTGCAGGCTTGAACACGGTTTGTAACCAAATTGTATGGTTTTCGTCAAATAGTTGTGTTTGAGAGTGGTATCTATCATCCCACTTTCTCACACTCAGATTCTGCACAAAACAGGCTGGACTTGTGACGAGTGCACCATCACTTGAAGCGTCAAGGGTGAAGGGATGGAGACGAGTCACAACAATTGCTTGCTGAGCTGAAACCAGTTTTGCATCCTGAGATTCATGATGTATGGTATATATGATATTTTGTCGTCAATTGATCGAGTAGCATGACTCAGGATTATGATACACAAAAATTTGTCGTGGATAAAAAGAAAAGTCAGCACTAGCGTTTCATTTTTCGCAGTTGTGCTCTGCTGTGTTTTCGGGTTATTCCGCACGTTGTTTGGCACAATGTCTGACATTTTGCTGCACATGCTGGGTTTCAACACCTGAAGCTCCCGGCATGTGGAACGATTTGTTGGACATCATACCGATCAAGACGTGGTATAACCTCGAGACTCATCAGCAAACAAAAACAAAAGTCCAGTGTCCTCATGGTCAGATTGAACACTGGACAGTGATCATCTCGCTCGGCAGTGCCGGTCCAATCATATAAATTCCATCTCCTGCTGGGGGCCATTTTCTCCAAAGAGTTGTTGACACATCCATCCCACCAGTGGTACAGCTCACCAGGTGATGCTTATTTTACCAAATGTAAAGGGATGATCATAAGCTGACTCGATGCTTACCCAGATTTGAGCTCAACGTTTCGCAATTGGGGGCATATAGAGAGCTCCGTCCCAGTTTTTGGAACAGCATCCAAAAATCACAAGATGATAAAATATCCGTGTTAAACGTCATTTCTGGAAGTCTATCTAAAAAAGCTTAAGAGATTATTTGATTCTTTCGGTAAAGTCACATAGATAGAAAAATACAAATAACTGCCTTGTGTGTTTGGTTTGTTGTCCTTCAACCGTACCTCCGACTAGCATGGTTGGCTACGGTCTATCTATGTGACTTTACCGAAAGAACCAAAGAATATGAATTCCTGCAGTCACTAAAGTTTTAAGTCAAAAGCTTAAGATGCTGTTAAACATATTCTTGGTTCTTTCGGTAAAGTCACGCAGAAGGGAAACAATAAAATAATAAATATATAAAGCAATAAAATTCTCACGACGTTTTCTTGTTGTGGTTTTCACACCTGATGATGATTGCTTGTGTTGCAGTCGAAACGTCGTGAGAATTTTATTGTTTTATATATTTTTTATTTTATTGTTTCCCTTCTACGTGACTTTACCGAAAGAACCAAGAATATGAATCCCTGCAGTCACGAAAGCTTTAAATCAAAATGCTGTTAAACATTTTATCAACTTGGAATGAAAGCCTCTCTCTGCATGCGTCTGCCTATGCTGTTCCCCGTGTCTTTGTTTTATCATTCATTCTTACCTGATAATGGTTGCTTGTGTTGCAACCGAAACGTCGTATTCTATTATTATTAGATTTTATTTTCTACGTGACTTTACCGAAAGAACCAAAGAGTAATTCCTGCAGTCACGAAAGCTTCGAATCTAGTTTTTACATTCAAATATAGCAATATATAACTGTATTTTAGTTGTCTGTTGAGTAAATGCACAATGCAGTTCTTCACAACGCATTTTTCTTCTTCCACAAGCTATGCACGCGTTACTGACGCCCCAGCTGGCGTGGAATGTGTGGGGCCAAATGGGCATTTTGTAAAAAAAAGTAAAAGTTGTCCCTGCGCTTGCTTGCTCGTGTTCGTAGCAACGTTGATTTGCGTACTGTATACACAATGACTTATTCATGAGTGAATTGTCCTGTGAACACGGTGGGTGCACACATAACTTTGTCTGCCTTGAATTCTATTCGTTTGGGTAAAAACATTAATATCGATGCTGCTTTAATCATGGCAAGGTCGACGCTGTACAGCAGAACCTGCTGGGTTTTTTTTCTTCAGTAGATGTACTGATAACCAAGCTCTCACACGTGTTCTGTGGCATTTATTGCGGCGATCAAACAATTCAGATCAAGGTTTTGAGGGTAGCACGTCAAAAAAAATGTGCAGGGATGTCCAGTTGTTTTGTGACCCCAAATTAATTGACCCCGAACATTTTTTTTCCCTTTGCGTATTCATTTCTGTTTGACATCAACCTTTCTTTAAAACAATTAAGTTTTAGAGAATTAAATGGGGATCACAAGATGTCTGGACCACCGTGTACATTGATAATACCTACATTTTCCAGAAAGACAACTTAATCCATGTCTCAAACTCCAATTAGCCCACACTGCCGTGCATACCAATCTACATCTTAATATAAAGTACCCTAACGTAATTAATAGATTCCTAAATGTCAATGTAAATGTGAGGAAGCGTGAGTGACTAAATAGTTACCTTGTGAAAAATATGCCACTTAAGTTAATGAAAGGCAAACGAACCACTTCGATTATAATGGAGTAAACGATACTGACATTTTTTTTAAACGTTATTATATACAGCAATTAACTACACTTTGATCATTTAATGGGAGTATACCGTATAAAATGTACATAAAATGTATTGATAGGTTTGAAAACTTGGCCCTTAGAGTTTTTTCGTGAAGGGGCTATATAACGCTTTGACCTGAAAAATGCATTTTGACTTGGGCATGTAGCGGGAGGCCTGCTGGTTTATGATCAAAGTGACTGTGGTTGGAAGTAAAACATTTGTGGTAGACGTTATCATGCTGTCTCTCCTGACTAGTCATTCAAGAGGGCACTAATGAAGGGGTTGAGGGAAACATCCTACAAAACCAGGGTCACACAAACATTCCTTTGATGGGGGCAGGGAGACGTTTGAGAAGACTTGGGGGTGTGTGGTTGAATACGTTCGGAATATTTCGTGGTGTGGCATGTCGCCGTGGTAGTGTGCCTCGTCCACAATTTTATATCGCACATACGGAGCACATGTGGAGCACATCAAACCTCCTCGTCCCCTTCAACTCCGCTTGCTTTTATATTCCCTTGAATGGAAGCTGTCCATTGAAAATAATTAGCTCAGAGGAAATTATACACAGAACAGGTATTTTTGATATGAATTGTCACAACTGAGCAGAGCAACATATCTATGATTAGGAAATATCAACACAACCAAGTATCAATTATGTTTAATATGTTTTTTTCAACGAACATCTTTTATCCACTTGCCAGACTTGCATTCTCCAACTGTGGAGATGTTCTTATGTTTTGTGGTCTGACCCCATTTATTGTATTGTTAGAGCTAAGTACAGTTGAATTGAGTGCAATTGTCCATATTTTAAGGTGAATTTCTGTGCAGTCATCAATGACTGGCGTTCATGTGACAGGAGCTGCCTCACTTTTCAATTTTGAAGGAATAACAGGTTTTTTTCATCATCTACATACCACTAGGAAAACCACAACCTAAATGTTGGTCCTTAACAGGCTTGGCATTTATGTACTTGAAATATATTTTTGTGTGACCCAGCCAGATCTTTGGTATTTCCTTCGAAAACTTTTCTCAAAAATACAATATATTTCATTGTATTGTGCAGTTATATCATGTCCAATTTACATATAAGTGAAAACAGTGAAGTAGTAAAAAAAAGATATATATGCCAAAAGAATGTGTCAAAGAGGCTCGAGATGAAGCAATACAAACTTTTGTGGACAACAGAACTTCTAAATCCACAGTGAAATGGGGGGGGGGGGGGGGGGGGGGGGGGGGGTGACCTACCCTTGGATCCCATAATTGTGCTGTGCCGCGAATTTTAGGAAGAATTAGATCTGTACTCCATAGCATCTGTACCATCGTAGCACACCCATGAGAGAGAGCCTAACAGCTCATTGGACGATTCCTGCTGAAATAAAAACAATCTATGAGCCACACAACTCCGTGAATCAACAACAAAACATGGAGAGTTCTGGAAAGCACAGCATGTGACTACTGCCTTCATTAATCCACAAAATATCGGCGATTCAAAAGAGTTCCACCACATTTCCTAAGAGCCAAATTAAGGAAATCTGCAATATGGAGTGTACGTTAAAGGATGTTTGCATTTTTGTAACTTTGTATTTAAATCTAAAAATGTAATATAATTTAATCCTCGCAACAGGTCACGTCAGTACAGATAGCCCGTGCAACAGTTTGTCTGTTTAACACGTAGGCTTTCGCGACCAATATTATTCATAATAAAGGTTTTTGGGTTAGATCGCGTTATTTATAAATGTGTCGTAACCCTCCACCACCCGACACGGCCAATCAGCAAAAAAAGTGTCACGTTGACAAAAGACAAATAATTCACTACTTTAGCCCACCGGTGTGTTGAAGAGTGAATCCACAACATTTGCAGTTTTTGAGTACGACGTTTCGCTGGTAATTACATCCAGCATCATCAGGCAATTCGCCAGCATGGTAAATCCCTCGCTTGCTCCCGGTCTTAAATAGAGCAGCAGGGTGACGTCATCATTTTAACTCATATCAGGTGCAGTGATTAGAGGCGGAGGGGGGGTATTGTAATTATATAATCGATTAGTAATCAGTCAATGGTTATGATTAGTAATGAGTTGTAGATTAGTAATTAGTTGTAATGTGTGTTAGTGATTATATGCTATGTTAGTAATCCGTTAATTAGTATGTGTTTCCCCTATAAGGAATTGTAATGTGTATTCATATTCAACAGTTTGTCTCTCTGCATTTTCGTTTGTCTCTTTGGATCACTGCCACCGCGGATAATGAGAGTTACTCAGAGGGCACACACATTTTGGGATTCACAGATTAATGGAGTTGTCCTGCACTGTAAATTAAAGTCTAGATGAATGAATAGCACGTAATTTTGCTAACACCGGACGAGCATTCCGTCGGTATAATATTAAATGCACCTTAAATAATCTACCACTTTAACCTCTGGAACACCAGTTCTATACGTTTCTCTAAGAATATCGACACATAAAGCTGCATTTTCTAAAGATTTCATTCAGTAAGAGGTGAATGCTTTAAAACGTTTAGTGTGATAAGACAAGCTGCAAAAATACACTTGGGAGAGAAAAAAAGCCCTACAGTATTGCTCTTGAAAAAATATGACATAACATAGTTGAACATCACTTAAGCTTTACATTACGTGACTGAATAACAGAATGAAGGGTCTCAAAGTTTCCTAGTTTGGAATGTCAAAATAAACACAGACTGCATGTTTGTACCACGTATTAACTGACTCGACTTCCTTCCTGTCTAGGTCAAGTCTCCAACTGTCTCAAAATAACTATCGACTAAATTCCTCTACCAATCCCATTGAGCAATGTACAAGGACATGAGTTTTTTTTCAGGCAGACTCGCACCGCCCGAGCATTTGCATGGTATCCACGGCTGAGGTGAAGGGTCGGTGAGGATGAGGCATGACGTCGGCACGCACGAACCCGGCCCAACACTGCGGAATGTAAGGGACGCCATCTCCGCTTACTTTCCCGTCCGCGTGCCAGCCAGCAAAACATTTTTGTTTATAATATTATACAGGCAGTCCTCATCTTAAGTCTGTTCGACTTAACGTCGATGCGCACTTAACGGCAGGTTGCCAATTGGCACTCTTGTTATTACTTACGGTTCTAGACACAAACATCCAGATGTACGTTGCCCAGTCAGCCTGCCTCCCGACGCACTCCGATATTAAACCTCTGCATTGTTCGTGATTTCGAAGGATTTTTTTTTATTCATTTCATCCTTAATGCATATCTGGCAACCCCTTATTAGTACTCTACCTTATTACAGACCAATTCAGACGTTATTCATCACATCGTGCCCTTAAAAATCTCAACGTTCATCCTACAAAGTCCCATCACAAACGGCTGTACGCCTTATGAACATGAAAACTAAATTTCCCTGTGTAAGAATACGGGTAAACCATATTGGTTGACAGCTATGATAATGGCTGATCAAAGGAAAGGTCTGTGCTCTCGTGATGATGTTGAAAAGTAACGTAGCAGAAAGGCCATTACTATGTTCGGTTCAAATAAGCCAAAAATTCCGGAGACTCAAGGTAATAACATTCTGAACATTACTGTTATTGTACTTTATATATGATTGGTAGTTGATTAAAGATGCTATTTGTATTCATATCTATAAAAAGTTGCATATCGGACCCATGATCAGTAACGTAACCCCCCCCCCCCCCATTATATCATTGTTTCTTTAGGAAAATCGGTCTCGACTTACGTCGTTTTGACTTGCGGCACCTTTTCAAGGAACGTAACCTGGCATATGTCCGAGGACCGCCTGTGTACATAATGTATGTCACAAATACACGTGGCTCTTGCACACAACTCGGAGCAGCAGTTGGGTGCTGGAGTGTGTGGGGGATGGGGCCATGCATTCCCCCGTTCCCCCCCCCCATCTTGGATCCACCTGTGTGTCTTGTGAATAGCTTCAATGTGCCAAAGAATCCAGAAGGGAAGTCATGCACTTTGGTGATCAATGCATAATTGGCTGTATTCCTTCGCAATTCAATTAATAAAAAACTGAAAGTAATATTTTATGGCACTTTTATCTTTCTTGCAGAAGCTTCAAGTTATAGCTGGGCCTTTACTGTGATTAGTTGTTCGTGTTTTTTTGTTGTTATACTTAATACATTACGTACTTATTTAGAGGATATAATTAAGTGCAATTGTGCACTTAATTTAATATTTTAAAAATAATTACGCATTTGTGTCCTGATTTATAAACACTTACATTTTGAAGTTGCAGACAATGGAGATAAAATGCTTAGAACTCATTCTACAATTCTGCTTTCGAATACACCAACTTGGAACAAAATTATTCTGTAACATGAATCGCATGTTGCATAATGCGGACATGCAGAGCTAATACTGAGCCAGTCATGTGTAGATTCAAATGCTCATTACAGCCACTTTTCTCAATTAGCTTTTCGTAGGAATCGGTCTTTTGTCTGAACAACACTCATTTTCTTCTGGCAATGCTTTTTAATTTGATTATTTTAGCTGGCACACATAGTAAATCAGGAAATATTTTAATATTTGGGGTGTACATCATGAGCTGATTAGTAGGGAACCAGGAGTACTACACTCCATGCATACAATAACATATCACGTCAGCACACCTAGCTTGTTGTGAAGGTTTGTCTCTACAGCTCCGTTTGTCTCTTTGGCACCGTTCATCCCAAGTGCATGGGTCCTGCCTTGTCCTCTCGGTTCTCTGTTTTTAGCAACTGTCATGTTTTCTCCACACGTATCTGTCTTTCTTGATGTTGTATATCAGACCCTGCTTGGGTTTCCATCGTACTATTTAATATTTGGCTTTAACTTTTTTCACCTTTCCATATTACTCCTCGCTCCTCCTTTCTATATGACAAACCCCCGTGGTGCGTTTCTTCTCATCCTTTATCAAGACCGCCATCAACATCTGTGACAACTTGCTAATGCGTTCCGTTCTCGTCAGTTCCATCCACATTTTATAAGAAAATAAACTAATGTTTGGCTGGTCATTAGGCATGATCTGTGTGTTTTTCACGTGATACTGTATAAAATGGTGATAAGTGAATTCACGTCAAGGCCCACTGCAGGACAGGTGAAATCCGATAATCCGTGATGCTGTGTTGGAATTCACCCGCAGATCCTATGATCCATGGCACACTGTGGGAAAAAAAATCCAAATGGCGTGCTAAACAGTTTGTGCTATTGTGGTATTTCACAGATTTTAGACGTGTTTAGCCACATGACTCGGTTAATCCTTGGGAAAAATGCAGATTACAGGGGTTTAGCCATGTTTTCCTAAACCCCAAATGAAGCACATTTACTATATTTTAATGATGACTGACCATGTAAGCACAGTCTGTATCTCACTGCATCTCCATTTGTCTTTGCATCTCTATTTACTTCTGCAGCTCCGTTGGAATCTCCATTTGTCTCTCTGCATCGCCGTATGTCTATTCTCAACTTTATTTGTCTCCCAGGTATCTCCGTTTGTCTCACTGTTTTATAGTTTATTTCTGCAACTCCATTTCTCTCCGCATCTCTGGCTCTCTCCAATTCTTTCTCCGCATCTACGTCTGTCTTTATCTCCGTCTCTCTCAAAAGATATTTGTTTGAAGTGCTTCAATACGTCTCTCTCGCTGTGTTGCTAGTCTCTGTGAAGGAAATAGTTTTTTATGTCGTTACACTTAAAAAATAATGATCATCCATGCCGTGGAGTACACCATCAGTTATAGGAGGAATTAGGAATGAGTCCCAAAATCTGCAGCAAAAACTTGCATTTCAGGATCTCCACCCGTGTAGATTGTGGGAGTTTTTGTGACCGTGGGAGACACCGTGGATTTATATATTCGCGAATAATTGGTGCGCAGTTCATCAAAGTTCGACTTTACTTTTTCAAGCTGAAGAAATGGATATTGCTTCATTCTTCGTCTTGTCCCTTGACTTGTGCCAATGGGACGGGGGACCATTTTCTGCACTGATCTCTACTTGCAGTCCTCTTTACATTTCTCTCTGTCTCTTGCTGCATATTTTAACTGAGATTTCATCCAATATGTGATGCTTGGCATTCCCTCAGATCGTCCTGTGCCTCCTCCCCTTGCACTTTCGAATGTTACCTCCATCGCCATCCTTTGCAGCCGGTCACTATTCATCCTGGTCACAGTCTGATATAATGTAGTTCTTTTTCATGTGACTTAGTAGCTAGCCTTCTTCTTTATTTATTTTATTTCAAGGACTTTCTTGTTCAGTGTAGGTGATTTAATACGAAATTTTAAGACTTCCAAAAAGCTTTAATTTCAAACGCTGTGCTTATTTTGTTCTTTTTTTAAGCGTCCAAATTTGAAGCCCATTCATCGTGGCTGAACACACCAATGAGCTCAAAAATGTCTTGCTTGATGCTAGAGTGGAATTTTTCCACTTTTTAGATTGTAAGCATTTTCCCCAAGGCCTTTTTGCCAAGTAGAGTAGTCTTGTTCTGTCCTTTTTGCTGCTGGTAACTGCTGTTAAGATGCAACCAATATTTGAACTGTTTCACCACTACCATATACAATATTTGTTTTAAATTGCATTCTTATAACACTATTTTACTACAGTGTGTATGTATGTGGAGTACTCTGTATAGTACTGTATTTAAAACTGATCAACTGTTTTGTAAACTCAAAACCATTTCCAGATTACTTCCTGCCATGACAGAAATTAAGAGTGATTTATTCACAAGATACATTTTCTGACTGATGTGTCTTAATATTTGTGGTAAAGATGTGTTTCTTTTTCTGGATGTAATTGGCCTGTAGCTTGCCTTGGGCACATTTGTGGTGAATGACGGAAGCCATCCAGCACTGCAAATAGGGCCTTGCCATGAAATGCAATGCCGTAGATATTGTTACGCAAGGTGCTGTGTTTTGTTTGAATGTGGGTTTTATATCATTGCGTGTGACATTACATTGTAAATCTATCCTTAACTGTGGTGCGTTGTCTACAGAAATGCATAACAATGTGTGCAGGTGCTGTCAAGCATCAAGATATACTGTACAGTACTTATATTACAGTCGAGCTTGGTAATTCCAGAAGGAATCGTTCTGTATTATTATGAATTCCACCCTGCACGATTCCTTAAGGAGTTTATGTAAACATGATTTTGAGCATGAACATGTCATGGAATTAAACAAATATGAATCTGGTACAGCGATGTATAGTGTCATGAAATTATCTTAACTGCAGAAATGCAGTAGCTAATTTAACATACATTTTTCAAAATGTTACCACAGTGCAGAATTTGGCATGTGACAAACATTTCTCTTAGTTTGTGTGGAAAAGTGTGTCTCCCCTATTTTGTGAATTAAAAAGGTAATTTGAAGGGATTTTAGAAGCAGTTATATGAAATATGCTTACATAGACCAGAGCTGCAGGACACATTGAGAGTTCAGAAGGTTTACAGTGTTGAAATGCATTTGATGATGCCCATAGTACAATTAGTACAAAGTTATGGAGAATAAAGACTAAATATTAGTAACCAGTTGAGCAAAGGCGTTTGATTTAGTTGATTATTTTGTTTGGAAATAATATTTGTGGGTATGACTGATCTTTTATGTGTTGATATGTCACATGAACCACACAATTCCTCCGATGAATATATCTTCATGAAAACCACGTGGTTGGATGTTCTGAAGCACTTTGTCTGATTCACTGATGCCACTCATGACATTAATCATTTATAGTGTTCATGCAATGATATGATTTCTGACGAAAATATGTTAAAGCCATTTTTGTTGTTGCTGAATGAATTTTTGAAGTGTAATTTCTAACTCTTTTCTGATTGCAAGTGAATCTTAAAACACTGAGTGGTAAAAGACGATATTGTACGAAGGATTTGTACATTCACAAATGTTCTTACATCACAAAGAATACTTGTTTTTATTTTCATTTCTACAATACTGTATAATGTAAGGTGAGG